CTACCTTCCCCAAAAGGCCATTTGCTCTAACATAATAAAAATATCCTCCCTACCAAATGTGCAAATACATCCCTGAGGTATATGCCACAATTTGGATGCTTCCTAAACTGCATGTGCTCTAAGCACCTGTATCTGACAAAACATTTTAGGAGAATTCAATGCCTTGATTGGAAATAGTTCTGCCAAAGCCTCCTCCACAGTTCATCAGGAAAGAAAGGCTTACTCCCTGGAAGCCTTTTTATCCTCAAGATGAACAGTTTCAGGCTATATTAATAAGGCTCACTACTCCCCTAAATTTACTGTAGTCTGATATTCCCCTACCTGAATTCCTCAAAGTATCCGAGAAAGTCCAGGTTCTAACCCCACTTTCCCTGCTACTCCCCGGAGAAAAGAATGACCCTCTCTGCAGCGAACTAGAAGTGGTGGTAAGAGAACACAAATTCTATCCAATCTTCAGGGAGCTGGTGTTCTGGGTTGAACTTTTGTCCCCAGAGAAATCCTATGTTGAAGTCCTAACTGTCACTCTCTCCAAATATGATTTTATTTGTAGATAGGGTCTTTATGGAAGAGGTAATCAAGTTAAAATGAGGTCATTAGGGTGGACCCTAATCCAAAAGGACTGGTCTGCTTGCAGGAGGAGGCAATTTGGACACAAATATGCCTTGAGGGAGGGTGACAGGGACGGACACAGTGAGAAGAGAGCTGCCAGCTAGCCAGAGAGTACGCTGTGCAACAGAATTTGCTCTTGTGGGAAACCAGACCTGCTGAGACCTTCATTTTGGACTCGCAGCCTCCAGAACTGTGAGACGGTGACTTTCTGTTGTTGAAGCCCCACGGTTCACAGGACTTTGTTATGGCGGCCCTGACAAACCAATGCCGCTGCGATTCTGGGCAAGTCTTTCATACCTCAGGGACTCAGTTTCTTCATCTAGCCTCAGGATGTGGACAGCCTTTGAAATTACTTCAATGTATGAGGTTAAGGAGCAAGGAGGAAGGCAGCCTCTTGATAGACGTAGACCTCACTATCTTCTTTTTTTTTTATATAGACCCTGAGAAATTACTTACTACTGAATCAGTCATTCCTAAAGACCAGGCAAGGAAATTTACATGTATTGATTAATAAATGATTGTGCCATACATTTAATTAATGGAATTAGGAAGACAACTATTATTCTGTTTTGCAGATGGGAAACTGAGACTTCTGTGGGTCACTGCGGTGGGAAATAAAAAATCTGAGGTTCACACTTCACATCTGACTGAGGCCTTGTCCCGCTCCATCCTACCATCCAGCACATCAAACCAAACTCGATCATGTGCATAGGTTGGTGATAGATGTGTCAAGTACCAAAAGGTTTTGGCTGAATGGCTAAGTAGGTAATAGCAAATACTGTGGGCTACAGGGACCAGGGTTCAAATTCAGCTCTATGACTTGTTAGTGGGTAAATCTGTATGAGCTATATCCTGTCCACATTGTATTCTCAACTAGAAAATGGGACAGCAGAGCTTACTCCTTTTAAAAGTTGGGACATTCGAATAAAAATGCTCAGAAAGGGTTTAGCAGGTCATGCAGACTGTAACTCCTTCATTCCTCACAATTTCCAAAAATTCCTAGAGAACACTGATTAATGGTTAGTCTTTTTTAAAACATTGTGCTTGAGGTACTTAGATAGCTCTTGCTCAGAAAACTATCAAAAAGCACACTTGTTAAACAATAACAGCTTACTGGGTATTTATTGTCTACTGGAAGTGTTACATAGACTATCTCATTCAATCTCATAATTCTGTCAAGAATGTACATCATTCCCATGAGGACATTTAAAAACTATGATTTAGAGGGGTTAGGTAAGTTGTCCAAGTTCATAGTTTGCCAGTACATTGCCTTTTGGTCTTCTTCCAAGTCTAAGGTTGCAGCAAGTGGCATTTTTTTTGAAAAAAAAATAGGAAGAAGCATCACTATATTCCCAGTATCTCTAGCAGTTGTGAACTAAAAAGTATAAAACCATTTTTAAAATGATACATGTTATTCTGAGGTATAGACGGGTCTGAACACACCGATTACAAGGAGGCTAGTCCAGTCACCTATCTTATTTAATCCTCATAACAGACTCATAAGATAAAAGTGTTATATTGTGCCTGTTATTCAGGTAGGAAAATGGAGGCTAAGCAGAGTCAAAGGACTTTCTCAAGATCAGCCAGGAAGGAGGTGCTCCAGGCAGAGCTCAAACTGAGAAAGATCTGAATCCAGAGCCCATCCTAGACTGGCAGCTCTCTGAACAAGGTCAAAAGGGCTAAAGATATGACCTGTCCTCCAGGCTGTAGGGAGAGCCCTCATCTAAGGTACAGACTGGGAACACTGGCCACCACCCTAAGGGGACCGCAGACTCTGGCCCTCGAGTCCTGCCTGGCCAGCCCCCAGTGAGCCCTGGCATTTGGGCTTGTTGTACTGAAGCAGACATTCTCATTCAGGCAGGGTTCTTACGGCCAAGCTCTTGGCTCACACCTTCTGGGTTCCCAGAGATAAGTCCTATTCGGCAGGGTCAAGGGTCCTTCAGTATCTTTGGAGAAAAGTTTTCCCTCTTATCAACAGATCAATAGATTGTGGGCAGCTTGAAACCCCTTCGATTATCTTGCCTGGGCATCCTAACTTATACTTCAGTAATGACTTTAGAAAGCACAATAAAGAGGAAAGGAAGCTCAAGCTTATAAGTTCATATCTTTTCACCAGAAAATCATCATTCAGAAAAACGGGCTTCAAAATAGATTCCTACAGAGGTGCTGGGGTGGGACTGAGAAGAAAAGGTCAATAACAAATACACATTTGATGACATGGCTCCCCGTGGCACACTTTCTATGAAGTAAACAATAAAAACACATTTTACTCTCCCTTCACAGCTTATTTCTGGTCTCTCTCTTACTAAAATGTTTATCATGAAAGGAAACATGATCCAGGGGACAAGTATTAAACTTCAGAGCACTGCTGTCCTGCTCTATCTCACCAATAAAACAACAATGACTTCCTGCAACTTTTGTCAGTCTCTTATCTGGGTAGGAACCCAGACCATTAATGCATCTTCAAAGCCTAGAATGGAAAATTAATACCAGAATCATAATGCGTAACAGGTCCATTTTGGCAACTGAAAGTGCAATTTTAAATGCTATAAAACAGCACCAATTTTCTTGTTCCTCTTCCTCACCTCATTGAATGTATAATCCTCTGCCAAAGGAAATAGGAAAATAAGCATTCTACTCTAGGATATAATTTTATCATTGCAATCCAGAGTGACCTTCTTACAAGCAGCTGTACACTTGGCTTAGGATCAACTGCATTCAAGCGCACAGGGCTTGCCTTGGTCAGGGTCCTGGTGAGATGGAACACTCATATTAGAGTAACTCAAATATTTCTTTACTAGGGAACTTTTTCTACACATGTACATAGGGTATAGGAGTGGACGGGCATTAATCCAGGTTTAGAAGCTGAAACACTTTTATCACCCCTGGGCACAGGACACAAGGGAAAGAAGTTACCAGGACATAGAAGGAGAAAGCCATTGTGAAAAATCTGCCCCTAGAGAAGACAGTGAAATGTGGCCTCACAAGGAGGGAAGCAGGGGACTCAATCCCCTGCCTTCTGCAACACCTTCTGTTCCATTTGCTGCCAGAGAATCCCATTGACCACAGCTAAACAGAGTCAAAAGACTGGTGCTCACTGGTGTGGCACATAAGGGTCAGTCCTTGAGGAGCAGGGTGGATAACTGGATGTTATGTAGCATAGTGCTAAATAAACCCCACAAACTCACTGGGTTATCTACACATCTGGAGAAGAGAAACTTGTATGGTTTTATTCACTACTCTATCCCCAGCCACATCCTTCCAATATCAACCAATTCTCTGATTTGCTAACGCCAACTAGGTGGCAAACAATTCAGTTCCATTTAGACACTACTCATTCACCCTAAAAGTTAAGGACACAGTTCAGGAAGATGCTATCACTTGAGGGATCACCTTTGAATAGGGTCTTCAGGCTACCCTTTACTTCTGCTCAGCCTACCACCAATATGGGGTGGCCACCACAACCACCCCTACATTCAGTACCTGTATAGAATGACTACAGGACTCACGAAAGCTCCCTACTTTCTATTACACTTTTATTGTAAACGGTGCAACGTAGGAGAGCCAAACGGAAGTGTTCTACAGAGCAAAGCATGGAGAGGAGACCACAGAGCTTCCATGCCGCCATCTGTCATTACTACAGATAGGATCCTGGGGGTGAGGAACTCACTGCCCTCCACTCACTTGAGCTCCTACTCCACCTTAGGAGCATTTTACACCAACCCAGACCAAAGCACATCCAAGCTGTATTTTTCCTCTCTCACTCTTCAGCCCAAGACCTTGTTTATCTGTGCAGCAGGCAGTGTCCCTTTTTTTGTCACCTATTTCTCTATTCATGAGCTTCAGCAAACACAGCTGCTTTTCTGCTACCATTGAGTGTTTGCTTTGTGAGTCCCTGCTTGCCATGCACAAGAACTTGGATCTGCCAGATCTACCATGTGGTAACAGCATGCTGTCCTCCCAGCAGGTCAGTGAGTTCCAACCAGTAGGTTCCCTGAGCATCACTGTTTCAGAGATTTTTAAGGAAGCTTCCTTATGCAGGCAAGATTTACGAAATTTTGGGCCAATGGGGAGAGAACTCAGTCTCCAGCCTCCTTTCCTCTCTGGAGGTGGTGGAGTGCAGAACTGACATTTCTAACCTTCTAATTGGGTGCCCAGCACTTATCCTGAAGCTTTCTAAGCTTGCTCTCTTTTTGTTGCCTCATTAGCATACAAAAGACAGTCCTGTCACTCAAACAATTCCGAAAGTTTTAGAAGCACTGTGCCAAAAACGGGGATCAAGACCAAATCAATCAATCTGTCTATCCTGTTACACCAGCACATTGTATGACAGTGCTCAGAACATAACAGACATTTAATATTTATTTAGAAATAAATAATGTAGTTCTCACCAGGCTACTCTAGAGATCTTTCTTCATTCTTCTCATGACACAGTGGATTTTTTTAAGCCTACCCTCTACATGGCTTAAGTTCTCCTCCTCTTCCTCTTTCTCCTCCTCCTCTTCCTCTTCCTCCTCCTCCTCTTCCTCCTCCTCCTCCTGTACCTGGAAAACTGACAGGAGACAAGCCCTGCTGGCTCCCAGTTGTCACATCTCCCACGTCCCAAGCACAGGCAGACTCAGCAGAAACTTTCACCAAGATGTTTTAGACCTAGAACCTCCCCTATTGGTTAACTATTTTCCCCAGTTTCCTCACAGTTTTGTTCCTTTCTCCATCAACCAATAGGTTCTAATGTCCTTAAAGAGAGGGAGAAGCTGGGTTTGAATACTTTCGGGGGTTGGTAGGATGTTTTTTTCCCCTAATGTCAGTCAGCGCCATGCCACAAAAAGGAATTTATATTCTAGATAGTTCCCAATGCTAGGAATCCTGACTTAACCTTTAAAACCCCTACGTGATCAACATTTTACATATTACAGGGAAAATTGGGTTTTCACCAGGAGAAAACTTAAAACCAAGGATAAGAAAAACATAATATGGTTGGGTTACTCTAAATCAATTCGAAGAAAAAATGAAAATGCAAAACAAACATGGCCCAATCTGGACTAATATGCCTTGAAAATGTGACATAAAATTCCAACATTAATTAGGCATGGGGGGTGTTAAAGTTTTCTCTTCATCAGCATGGCATCGGCTGTCATTCTCATGAAACATTAGGCTTCGTTATGCTAGGAAAAGCCTTCTGATATTAAAAATGGACAAAGTTCTATGTAAACTCTGGATTCTCAATCTGAATAGGAATCCAAGGACTTGAACAGATCCTTTTGGAGAACACTTTAGACCTGCTCACACCCTCATGGCCACCTTTCCATGAAAGCAGGGGGCCCTTTAGCTTGAGCAAAAACACAAAGAGAAAGGTCCTCAGCTCAGTGCCCCTCTGGCTAATGCATCCTGTGTGTGCGCGACAAGTCCTTTGATCAGCAGCACAGAATATTATTACTTCAGGCACTGATCAGAAAATGGATTCAAGAACAGACTGTAATATGCAGCTTATTGTAGTTAGCTAAAGACACTTGATATTGGAAAAAAACTAAGGTCATTGTTGTAAGCTAAACTAATAATCATCCTCAGTGACCTGGGGAAGAGATAGTTGGAAACAACCAGTCAGACATCTAAAAGAAAGACAACAAAAGAGAATAGAGTGAGTGTCTAGGCTCCACCCAAGGTGTATGGAATTAAAATTTCTAGAGAGTGGGGTCTTTGTAAAGCCATATACCCACTTTCATACAATGGCAAAAGGCACACTAATTATCTTAGATTGGGTACATTAAATATACACATGGGAGAACACCCTGCCCACCTACCTATGGCCACCATTTGGATAAACCTTTCACGGTGGTGACCTATGCATTTAAAAGGAGTACTCTAGAGGATATTGCTGTCTGCTCTTTCCTTCATGCCACCCTGTCTGCAGCTGAGATTCACAGGGTGCCAGTCCTATAGTACCCTCATTCACTAAAATGGAATATATTTGGGTCACATGTCTTAATTCTCTGCTGACATACCTCCATGGAATTTTTATTTAACAATACACATTTAGGTCATCAATGCCTTATAGGAGTCAATCTACTTGAATTTTACATTGTTATGGCTTGTGGAAAATCATGGTTTCACATATCTGATATGTTACCCAACACATCCATTATATAACCACTTCTCAGAAGTCCATGTCAGAGAAGAGATTGTCCCTCCAGCTGAACATGGCTGTACCTTTCCAACCAACAAGGATGATTAGATGATGCCATTGCCCCAGAACCCTAGCTGCTGGGAAACTTTTTTTTTTTTTGAGCAAGAGCTGTGTACATTGGGAGGATCCTGGGGAATGGTAGCTTGTAAGGCAGTGTTGTGATGACAGAGACATCCCACATGCACACTTCAATTCAGTAGCTACCGTGGTTAGTTAGCACTTAACATGTGACTTGTGATATCAAGGAATGCATTTTTAAATTTTATTAAAATTTTACATTTTATTTAATGTCAACTAAATTTATGTGGCCATGTATGGCTACTGGCTACACTGAACAGGACTGCTGTAAGATCACATTTTTCTTTTAAGCTTGTAGTTAATACTAAGTGAAGCTATACAGATTTTTAAAGGAAGTTTCAATTTAGGTGCACATGCTATATTTAAATTGTAAGAGTGTCATTGGCTTATAGTAATATTATTTGAAAGGATCTGTGCATATCTGACCTTGCCTGTAGAACCCTGGCCGCTCTTCATAAAAGAAGGAAAAGGCACAGGTCCTCTCCTGGAAGCAGCTCAATTTAGCTGGACACGGCCCTAGCCTGGACTGCCACAGAACTGTGGGAATCTGAATGCAGAACCACTGACCTTCCTACACCAAACCCCACCTGAATGGCAGGGCAGTTCCCTTTACTCTCCTCTATTGTTCCCACACCACCTGTAAAGGAAGGGCAGGAGGCAGCTCTGGAGCCTGCTTTGTTACGTTTGCAAGTGGAGAGGAGGTTCTGTGTTTAAGGAAGAGTACAGTGGGTTTGCAGCTTGTCTCGGGATCTGCTCAGTCCTGTCTGATAATTCTTGGTTGGGGTGGGAGGCAGCGGAGTTATACACTGTAGGGTATTTAGCAGTATCTCTGTCCCCACCTGTTAGGCACTCTCATGTCTCCTACCCCTCCCAGCAGTGATAACTAAATATTTCCCCAGACATTAAGAACCACTGACTTAGACAGTAAGGTCTTAGACGGGGGATAACTCAAGAGAGGAGATCAAATCTTACTTAGTGTTTTGCCTTAGTATTATTTTTTAAAAATCTCTTGTACCTAGCAAATGCTTGTGGTATGATATGCATTCAATTGACTATTGCTTAGATGAATGAATGACTGAATAAATAAATAAAGTCACAATTATTTTTTAACTTTTTAAATGTCCTCCTCAAGGTCTCTCATAAGCATAAGATTCAATCAACAAATGTTTTCTTACAGGCTTTAACCAAATGAAGGAAATCCGACTAACAATTCTTTAAGGAAGAAAAATTGTAGGAAAAATAACCTTTTTGCATACCTTCATATGTATGAAGCTTGGGAAGCTGAGGCAGAGGGTAAATCAGAGTTCAGGGCCAGTCTGGACTACACAGCAAGACTCTGTCTCAAAAAAATAAAATAGAAATTGCATGAAGCAATCCCCAGATGGTTAGGTTTTTAAGCAACAAATATAAATCTAAAGATGGAGCCTCATCATTTCCAAGCTAAGTGCCATAATGTCTGCGAATGAGGAAGCAAGGCTCCTTCACCTCTCTGCCTCCTCTGTTCTTAAAAGTTCATCTGCATGCTGGGGTAGGAAGATCCCTTTCTCTCTGTCTGCTCCCCCAGGAAGCTCAGCTGCCAGCTTCCCTGCATGGTTCCTGAACCTTTAAACTGCATTTGTCAGTAGATAATGCTTTTATCTCATTTGTCACAATCAAAGTCCACAGAATTATTCTACTGTCTAATGAAAGCCAAACCTTTTGCATCTAAAATTTAGGGGATGCCTCACCCCTGACTGCCTATGAAATCACTTAACTGAGGGAAAATGAAGGCATTCCCACCATACATACATTTAAACCCACAACACATTTAGCGTAATCTGCCCTTCACTGCCTATTTATCTTAACTCTTTATGGTATTTTAAGCTTCTGGGCAAGATTTTAAATTTAATGTGATATAACACTCTTGACATTCCTATGACTGGGCATTTAAAGGACTGCTGCATTCAAAATCATTAAGTCATATTGCTATTTTACTAGAGACAAGGTCAGAACATTTATTATAATTAAATGAAAAAGTGGAAGGAAAAAAGAACAGCTTGTTTGCAGAAACCAGCTCCCCATAGAATAGTGGATTGCTGGATGCAAATTAGAATCATACTGGGAGCTTCTAAAAATCTTAAAGGTCAGGCTACATCTCTTCAATTAAATCAGAATCACAGGGGTAATATCCAGGTGTAAGAAACTTTTTTATATGTTTTATTTTAGAATAGTTCTAGGTTTACAGAAAAATTACAAAGACAATGCAGAGTCCCCATGAGCCTCACTCCCAGTTTCCTCTCTTATTGAATTGTATATTAGTATGGCACATTTGTAACTCTTAATGAGCCAATATGGACACATTATTATTACCTAAAGTCCGTATTTTATCCATATTTTCTCAGATTTTCCTTAGTGTCCATTCTTCATTTCTAGTTTCTCCTCTAGGAATCTCATCACCTTTATGCATCATGTCTCCTTAGGTCCCTCTTAGCTCTAACAGTTTCTCAGGTTTTCCTTGGTGTTTGTTTGTTCAGGTTTTGGTTTTTTCAGTACTAGAGATTGTGGAAAGTTCTCACTACATGGCTCAGGTTGGCTTCAAATTTGTAATCCTTCTGCCTCAGCCTTCCAGGTCACTGGGATTACAAGTGTGCACTGTGAGGTCCTAACTTCCCTTAGGAGACAAAACTGTTCCTTTCTCATGCTCACATCTGGGGTCCTATGTCCAGTCTATACTCTAGCCAAACAACAACATCCTCCTTCCCAGGTAACAGACCCCAACTACCTACTTAGTCTTGCTTAACCCTAGCAACCCCTTGTACCAGTAACAGCCTGATGAAAAGAACCCACCAGCCCAAACCAAGTAGATATGGCCCTACAAAACAAAAGGGGCTTAGCCATCTTACCTGCCAAGAAAAGAGGCCTGTTTATTCTTTCACAAAGAGCGCTGTTTTTGGCCACATCAAAAAATTTCTTCTCAAGCCAGTCTTTCCTTGAAAAGTCAGGAATGTGAGGAGTGAAAACAGGACCCTCTTCCAGGCAGATGGGCCATGTCATTTCTGAGAGACAAAAACCTTCCTTCTGGAAAATAAAATTTAACTCAACTGAAATGACCCAGTGATGTCATTTCAGAGAAATAGAAACTTAGAACAACAGAACTTAGTTCATCCTATCATCCTTACCTGCTTTGAACCTTTCTGCTCAATCACCCTTACCCACATCTCCTAAACCCAGATCCCTATTTACAGCCCTAAACCCCCCTGGCAGGGAGTAGGGATGGGGACT